CCCCCCCCCCCCCCCAAAAAGAAAAGTGCCCCCAAAAAGCCCCCCCCATAAAATATAAAATATAAGCCTTGGTTCCCCCCAATGTTGACTCCATGGCTACAGTCTTGTGCTTAATACTTAATCGATGGCTGTCATTCAACATTCATTAATTTATATATGTACCTCGCGCCTTATTTGCACTGTGTTGTGCATTTCTGCTCTGTTTTGCCCTCAGTATAACTCCCTGTTCCTTATTATCTTTATTACATCGTTACCTTTCTGTCTATTTGCCTTCCGCTCTTTTCATCATGGCAGGGATGACCACCTTGCATTTCACTGCAGGTTAGAGCCTGACTCCATACCTTGTATGTGCTGAGTAAATCCCTTGAATCCCCTTGAATCCTTTGATGATGGCCTAGTGCTGAAATGTTTGTGTTGCACCCACGATGGATCTATAATATAATAAAACAAACGCTAACCAGTTTGGACCTGATTTTTGTTATGTTACTTAATGAAGGCTTACAGTAAATGACCGCTGGCCTCCATGACTCCTCGGTGAAAGACTGAAATATTTGGAAATGTTATTACCAAGAAACTTAGTGCTGTATTAACACTTTAAGCTAGTTTTCTGGAGCTTGTGGACTGTTAGTTGCGGGTAAGTAAGGCAAAGGGCTATAAGGGGGCCCTTTATAGCATTAAAATTGTGTATCTGGTGACTAAGATTCCAAATCATGCCGTGGTCGATTACATCACCGTCCTCTTCTTCAGGTGACTGCTGGTTTCTGTCGGTAGTGACTTCTCTTTCCCTGCACCGCCACCTGCTGGAGCGTGTGGTGCCCTGCAGGCAGAGCTTCCAGGAAGGCTACACCGGCTGCTTTGTCTTCCAGGTCGGTCAGTCCTCTAGTGTACCCAAAACTGCAACGGATTAAAGTCATTTCTGAGCTTATTAATAGGAACTTTCCACAGGGCTGCTGCTAATTTTGAAGCTCGATTTTAAAAGTAGATCTATTCAAGTCAAGTCAAGTCAAGCCAGCCCATACACAAGTATATGGTAGTATGAGATGTCGTTCACCTGGGACCACGATGTGGGGGTGGGGGTGGGGGGGGGGCATATGTACACAATTACAGGGGCAAGATCCAGACTAAGTATGCGAGTGTAAACACGGGGGTTGGACACGGACCACACACAGTGCACATGACACAGTAGGAGGGCAGATACACAGCATATATGTGAATTGACTATCTATATATAACATAGCAGAAGGAATGTAGTAGCAGAATATAAATATGCTATGTAAAATATGCAACAAACAGAATGAGTGTATCTGTACATAATAATATTGAATAATTGAATAATATTGACAGCATGTATATTTGTAGATAATGATGAAATTGTTTAATTCCCTATAGGATGGAGAAAACTAACTGTACCTAGCCAATGTAAGTTAAGTAGCTGGCAGACATACTGCATCATTGCATCATTGCTCGGTGCTTATTTTGGGAAGCACAGGACGAGAGGCAGGGCTCATCCCACACAAGGCACCAGTTCATCACAAGGCACATAAACACACATAAAGTCACTCACTAAGGGCAATTTAGAGAAGCCAATCTGCTTTAATAACATATATTTGGACTATGGGAGGTAACGGTAATACTTACAAAAACCAGGGAACATGGAAAGAAAATGCTAGATCTATATCAAATAGAAACTAGGTAACAATCAGAACTACCACCCTTGTGCCATCCACTGATCCATGTTGCCACCTACAGAAGTGATGATGATGATGATGATGATGATGATGACCTTGAGGGTCTTGCTTTTCTCTCGACTCACTCATTGATCCCACCGGATGTTGCCAGATCTAATAGTCATCACAGGCAGTAATCTCCCTATTCATTCGTAAGGGTTAGGACCAGAGGTGGAGATTAGGTGAAACGCTTTGAAAGTCATGCTTGAGGAGAATTTCCTGTAAATCACTGGTAAATGACTGCATTGGTTCCTGTTGGATTAAATCCACCAGTGATGCACAGTATGCTGAGAATCCTTTAAATTTAACATCATATTCATTCATCACACCTCTTTCCTGGTGAGGGTTGTAGAGATGGCGTGCCAAGCAGATCAGATCAGACGTTGCGTACTAACTAGAAGCCATGCACTCCAGCGTGTTTCGGGGGATATTTCCAAGCCATCTGGGAAATACAGTCTCTCCAGCATGTTCTGGGTCTGCTCTGGGTTCATCTGCCCAGTGGATCCTGGCCAGAAAATTTGCATTGGCAGCCAACCAGATGGCATCCTTTTAAAATGCCCAAAACACTTCAGTTGGCTCGCCTTGATCTGCAGCAGCTCTGTTTCAGAGTCCCTCTGTTATTTCCAAATAATATTTGGAAACATAAAAATGATCTCTGTTCTGGAGAGTAAGTCTGACAAGCCTGCAGAGAAACTCAATTTTGGCTGCATGTACTTACAACCATGATCTTTAGTCATTGGTCATGATCATAGGTAAGGATAGGGGCATATACTGATTGGTAAACAACAAGCTTGCCTTAGATGCTGCCCTTCTGGCCATTGGGATCTTTCGACTGTCTCAGGTGACCTCTTAGTAAACTTTGCCCTGAAGGTCTCCTTCTTCCACTGGAGAGTTTTCGTCACCAGTGGTGACCACCATGTCAGTGCTGCAGTGATTTTGGCCTTGAGCATCATCCATTCATTTTTCACGGAAGTGTCAGTTGGATTTGTCTAACACAAAAGCTTCAGCCAGATGTTCCCAGCGAACACCAACCTCGTCTTTATCTGCCAGATCCAGCTCACCAGCTCTTGGGTTTAGACCTTGCAGGCCATTCTTCCCAGTCGTTCCTTTAGGCATCGTTATCATTCCCCACACGACCATTGAGGTCTCCCAGTAGTCTGTAGGGGGTTCCCTTTTAAACATGTCAAGTTACTTTATTCTGTGCAGGCTACTCCTACTTGCTTTGGTACCTTTCACGAGGGTCTTTATTGGATTGGAGTTTGTCTGGCTTTTCCCCATGGACCTGTTGACCAAGGGAGGCCCTTCCAGATGGCATGACTCTATGACATAGCTCCAGACGACATAGCTCAGGATCATTAAAGCATGAACCGCCCCAGATGGTTACAATCATCAGAGGAGTTAAATACATTTTTATACAATGACATCTAAATTTCCCCGAATCATTGCTGGTTTGTAAAGACTAATGGCAACCAAATCAGCTCCCTGTTAACCTCTTTCTTTCTGCAGTTCTGGCAGTATGGAGAATGGAAGGAAGTAAAGATTGATGACTTCCTGCCAACATGTGAGGGCCAGCTTGTTTATCTACGTTCGTCTGCGAAAGAAGAATTTTGGAGTTCGCTTCTGGAGAAGGCATATGCCAAGTCAGTGCGCATTTAACTCGTGTTTGAACAAAACTAATATTATTAATGATTATTTTAACACGCTCGTTTTAAAATTTCTCATACTGGGAAAAATATGGAATATGGATATTTCATTCTTGAATATGCTGTCTCTTTTAACTAGCATCCTTAGCTAGTTAAAATGTGATGCATTGCTGACATCTAGAACATCCAATGGAAAAGGCTGGGTCGATATTACAAAAGGACATTGATCACATTAATACAGAAGCCCAAAGAAGACACTCATTATTTTTTTCTTCCCATTATCAACGACTTATTTTTCTTGTGATCTTGACATAAAAGTTGTTATCCCGAGATGATGAGATCATGCATTGTTTTGTGTTTCTCTGATGTGGTGATGTCTATGACTGCTGTAATTGCCTGCTTCACTGTGCATACCACAGTATCAGCATATAGCACAATGCTGTCAAATAAAATTCTTATTTTAAGCCTCTAATGAAGGTTAATGATCAATCTTACGCAAATTGTATTGTTCCTGTCTATTACTTCCATTAACAGTCTAGTGAGTAGTGCTAATTACCTAGAAGTCCATAACTATGTCTTCTTGATTCTGGATGAAAAGTTAGAATTCTTTAACAGCTCAACATCATCTCATTGTAATGATCCCTTTTACTGTAAAACAAATTCAAAGCTGTGATTTAGTTTCCCCCTCTTTTTTTCACTAATATGATAATTGTCTAACACTGACAGTCATGCTGCTATTTCTGCTTGAGACATTCCATGATCAAAGTGAAATGTAATGTGTTGGTCCATGATAATGTATAAACAACTAAGCTACTAAACTTGACACCAGACCAAGGGTGAAATAAAATTTAATTACGGTAGCCTAGGTGTGACCATGGCCATGTTTCAAATTGGTTGAAAAATGAATCGTATTTGTGAATGGTCATTAAATGAGCAGTGGTTGTATTGTCCAATTTTATATATCATATTTGAACTTGCTTTTTGGGATGCAGATCCCTGCATCAACAGATGTTCTAAGAATAGTTATGAATATCGTATAAGTTTTGATTCATTCCTCCTTGTTTTGTAGTTTATGCTCCAGTGTTCTGCCTTTCGCCAGGTTGAAGGGGGGGTACCAGGCCTTAAACATGGGCTTCCCCCACGAGGCCATGGTGGACATGACCGGGGGTGTGACGGAGGTGTTCAGCGTGGCAGCAATGCCTCACGATAGTGGACACTTTCTCGAAGGCCTGCTGAAGAGAGGAGCACTCATTAATTGTGCCAGTACGCAGGTGTGTGTGTGTGTATGTGTGTGTTGAGTTGGTTACTGACCAAATGATGTCTGTTTTCCTTCACTACCTCTAGCTGTAGCCAAAAAAAAGTTTGTCTCTTTCTCTGCCCCTATAGGTCAACCATTGTTTCTCAAAAAGCATGTTTTTATTGCAGCATACATAGTGAGTGGAGGATAACACAGTTTTTCTCAGCCTAGTCCCCAGGGACCTCCAGACAGTCCACACCTTTGGTCCCTCCCAGTCTGCAGCATGCCTGAACCAAACAGTCAAGTATGCCAAATACCTGGTACAGGTGTGTGGGGAGCTGGGAGGGAACAAAAACCCGGAGCGACTGGGGGTCCCCAAGGACCGGGTTGAGGAACACTGGCGGATAAATAGACTGTGTATCAGCATACTTAACGTCTTTCTGTACAAACAGGGTGCGCTGGAGCAGAAGAACAAGTTTGGAATCATGTTCAGACATGCCTACTCCATTACAGCAGTGGAGAAGGTGATACTTTGGTCCAGCTGTTCATTAGTACCAGAGATGGGAATTTCCGGTCCAGTAAATAAAAATCCAGACCAAGATTTTGTTCCAACCAACGAGTTGAATACTCTGTGACTGTGACTCTTTATGCTCAACTGGTTGGTTGAAACAAAATCTTGGTCTGGATTTTTACTTTGTGGACCTGAAATTTCCACCGCTGATCAGTAGCCAGCACCATTTCTACACTGCATTCATGTAGGTTACGTACATGTTTCTGACGAGCATAAACGCCCTTCACTGTCCCAGGTCACGACGCGCACTGGGGTGGTTGAGCTAGTGCGAGTGTATAACCCGTGGGGGAACACGGAATGGGAGGGACCTTGGAACGACAAAAATGGGTGCGTTATGCTTTGCATTTCAGCCTGTACTTTCGCTACCCTTACTTAATGTTTTCAGTCACGGTAAACCAAGACCTCCCATGAAGCTGAAACTCAGCCTTCAACTGCAGCTATGAAGGAAGAAGGAAGCAGTGCTGAAATCCTAAATTTCCTTTGCAGGTCCGAGTGGAACCAAGTCAGCAAAGCTGAGCAGGACCGCATCGGCAGAACGCAAGCAGAGGATGGGGAATTCTGGTCTGTCTCCTGTGAATTACTGCTGCTTGCATCTTTCTGAATATTTTGATCTCTGTCTTGCCCAGAACTTCTTACTTTTGATTCCCCCTGTCCTACTGTCGCCAGGATGACGCTGTCAGACTTCTGCCTGAATTTTGATGAGATTGAGGTGTGCCATCTGACTGAGGCTACGCTCAGTGGCCTGGATACTGTCAAACCCTGGCAGTGCACCTTGCATCAGGGAAGCTGGGTACCCAGCCTGTCTGCTGGGGGTCCTCCTGGAGGGGGTAAGACAATTTTGCTGCTGGTTGGTAATAATATGGTTACTAATACATGTTTAACATCTCTTTGTGGTAGTGAAGCAGGATTTCTTGCTTCACTACATGTTTAACATCTCTTTGTGGTAGTGAAGCAGGATTTCTTGCTAGGATTTCCCATCACCCTTTGGACTGATGTCTATTTATGTCAGCATTGTCTCACTCAATGACAAGCCATAATCTGACCAGATCAGAGTCCCTTACACCAGTGTTTCCCAACCTGAGGACTGGGATGGGACACACTGCCTCTCCCAGTCTCATTAGCTGGTGCTTTTTCTAATTGGGTCCAGTTACAGGCCCATTTTTACAGATTCGTAAAGCTGATGTCAATAGTCACTTTCATCAGTCCGATTCCCAGCACTAGGTCTATGTACGGTATATGATTTTTGCATTGCAGCTTTTCTAGATATTTCCAAATGTATATTTTTGTACTATTAAGGGCAACACTATAGTAAATATTTTGTGAAAAATAAATTAGAATGAAAAATCAGAATTAAATTATCCATCCAAGCATCTTCCTTGTTGCTTACAGGGTCTTATTCTTATATCTTATTTTATATACACATTATATACATTCCAATGTAACATTTTTGATGCATCTCTTGTTATGTCTCCTTCATTAAAATGATTAATCATCCACCACAGAAAAAAATAATTATTGGTGAAGTTCATTGTATTTTAAGATTAAGATTAAGATTAAGATGGACTTTTTAAAACCCAGGGGGAAATCTTGGCTCATACAGCAGCGAGAGCTTAGTGCACAGACGGACGTATATAGAGTGCCAAACAGACAAACAGCATTACCAGCATTACAATAGTGTAAGTGTAGTGCAAACACAGTACATACATATAAATAAAATAAAATATCCTGAAAAAACACAATATTGTGATACAGGTCAGGTCATGTTGGGGAGCATGCAGTGATGCAGTGGCGCAGTGCAATGCCCCACTCAGCACATGATGAAACACCTCAGGATTCTGGTTAGCGATACCCGCTCCCCCCCGCCAGGCCAACATGAGGTCCAGTCCCACCCTCCGGAAGTGACTGTCAATCAGCCACAGACAGGTGTTACATGGGCGTCCCCTTGGCTTGGCACAGCTGCTCGGGTCCTCAGTGATGAGGATCCAGTGAGCCGGATCGCCCTCAGGCACTCGTGCCCCATGGCCGTAGACTGATATATCGAAAGCTGTTTTTCTATTACATGTTATTCCTACAAACTGTTTTTTTTTTTTTTCGTTCGGTATTGTGAATTGTTGAAATGTTTTTGTTCCGCACGCATGACATATGCTGCGCATGTTTCCATCTTCATTCAAAGATTTCCACGCTGTTGACAATTTTTTTGCGGTGGCTGACTGATTGATGAGTCAGTGGTTTCTTGGTATTTCATGTAGCTCATATTTCCGCATAGACAAGCGGGCAGTTCAACAAACCATTGATTAATAGCCAATGTTGCTTTGTAATCTGCTATCAACCGTTATCGAATGTCGCTCGACCAAATGATCTCTGCAAAAGGTGTGATAAGAAGCCAGACAGACAGATAGAGACAGACAGATGTCTATCGCGTTCTAAAAATAGTAACGTCTCATCCTGTGGTCCATTCATTCATGCATTTTTCTTAACTGCTTATTCGTCATGCTGTTGCATGCACCTCAAATGGGATGGTTCTCCAGGAACATGCCTGCACACACAAACGCACGCTAGCGACCTAAACTTTTGTTTTTAGGTTAATTTCCACACACGATACACTAATGCTGGATTATTCTGGATTGGGCTTTGTGATTTTGTAGTCAGATTTTGGCAGAACCCTCAGTTCCACTTGACCCTGCAAGAAGAGGATGAAGACCCAAGAGACCCTGAGCTGACCTGCACCTTCCTGGTGGCTCTGATGCAAAAGAACAAGAGACGCACTGAGACGCAGCTCGCCATAAATCTGCACATATACAAGGTCAGTTTTTGTAACTCGATTTGGGTTTGGGGATAAGATTCACTATGGCCCCTGTTTACAATTGGGCAATTGGATTGTAAGAAGACAGTGTTAAATAAAAGTGTAAATGACCACCAAGACACACTGTTATCCGATCACCCAAATCACTAGCCGAGCTGGTCTAGGACGCATTTGAACACGTATCTTTTGTAGTATAAATGCTAAGGCATCCTGATGTGTCTCTGGCATGGACGTCACAATAACTCTACGCGGGGCCATTTGACCTTTTAGCGGAAGTGACGCAGGCGGTAATGAACTCTGAACACAAGTGGTCAGCTGGACACCTTCGGAAACCATAAGAGACACAGGTGTAAACGGTGATGTGTCTCAGCTGACTAATGATCCAGTCGCCCAAGTGTACACCTACTGTATGTTCATGCAGGCAGACACACTCACTGTTCACTCGGTAATATAGAGGCGTTGATGGTGCGCTGCTGCTGTGTGTTTGTGTGCCACGCAGGTGCGCTCAGATCAGTCGTACCTATCCCACCTGGACCTGAGTTTGCTCAAGCCCTTGCTGTGCATGGACAGCTACAGCCCACGCAGGGAGGTGGTGGTGCGGGGCCACCTGCCCCCCGGCCAGTACGTCATCATCCCCTCAACGTGGGAAGCTGGCCTGGAAGGGGAGTTCATCCTCCGTGTCCTGACGGAGAAGGGCAACACGACAAAGTGAGAGGCGACACTTCAGTGAAAACTCTGAAAACTGAATGGTACATTATGGGGGTTATATATAAGAAGTACCCACACCCCCCAAGTGAAATTTCCAATTTTAGAGTGAGTTCTACTGTTATGCAGTAAGGACATAGAAGTGCAAACTGGTCTATTTTTGCTGATATTAATTAAACTTTGGATTTGTCCATTTATCTAGACATTATGTCCGATGTATTTTTCCATCATTGATATATTAAATAAGAGTGAAACATGAACGCTGGTGGGGAAAAAAAAGAATATTCACAGCAGCACGGTATGAACCCATTGACACTCCTCATACCATTTTATTCATAATGGTAAAATAAAGTGATGTTGGACAAGATAACATTCTGTATTACGAATGGTACAGTTTAAAGTCTTTATGTTGAAATATGGTTAATTTAGTCTTATCTTATAATTAAGTTATCCTGTGTAATTTTCAAAGAGCACTGAACGGTCAATAGAGTTTGAGAGCTAGAAATCAGATTATTGGCGTCACATGGTAAAGTTGCAAGTGTCATCCCCACATAATAGATAATTTATTGCATTATTGGTTACATCAATAGTGAATTTTAATAATTCATTTGTAATTAATGAATAATTAGCAAATTGAAAGGAGACAGGGTCTCTTCTTTAAAAAGTTTTGTTTTGGAAATAACTGGATAGATCTTGTTGGTGTTCCAGATATTTTTCTCCATTTTTGCAGGCCTTCTCAGAAACCCAGCAAGGATGTTAACGCCCCCATGCAGGTAAACCGCTACATGTCATATTGGTTCTTGTCACTTGTCAAGATTTTATGGGACACCTAGAACCACTTCACCAGCATAAAGCCATGTCGCTTCCTATACACTGCATACTGTCCCGCCAGTGAGGCATCCTTGTGTGTTTTCTGCAGATGCAGACCATCGCTCCCACCCAGTCAGTCCTTCCCTCTGTCGCAGATGTTCAGCAGATTTTCAACAAACATTGCTGCAATGTAAGTCTGTCGAATATCACAGACACTGCCAAGTTGTTCATCTATAGAATCTCACAGTAAGGCACAGACAGAGTCACACTGTCAGCCTGTAGAATACTGCAGTGCAGTACAGACACTGTCATGCTCTCTTGCCCTCAACACACCTGCAACCAGTTTTATTAGGCAATGGCTCCGTTCTCATGTCTTAGCAAGTTAGCTGATCTGAATGATTGAGTGAAACTTGTTTTGTGGGTTTTTTGATTCGTCATCTCAAGGGTTCCAATAAAATCGGCCGTGTTCCACACACCAACTCCCATGTCCTGTGGGTCTATATGCGGATCAGAGAATCCAGAGACCTCTTTTATCAAAGTTGCATATGCACAAAAAGATGCTTTTTAAGGAATGTCACAGATTTATGAAAGTGTGACAGGAAATAATGCATGTATATATTTTTTTCATAAATCTACAGAATTTCAAATGGTGGCGAACGCAACATTTTGGACAAATCGGGAAAAGGTGACACCCGTTGTAAAGCAGGGAACTGCAAGTAAACCTGTAAAATGTCCGTGTGCGTGTCAACTCTCACGTGAAATAATAAATCTAAAAATGTGAACTGGGGTGTAGCTTAATTATTTTTATTTTATTAATCTATTCTATTCTACTGGGATTCCGTTTATTTGGGTTAGCCAAAGACTTTGTATTTGTTTTGCTGAAATTAATTTACTATTTTAAATACTACCTCTTCCCATGAATTGAGAATATCTGTAACAGCATAATTGCGTTCGTGCCAGTGACTATGTAAACAGAAGGATTAGAATGGAGCGAGTCTTCATGGACCACCAGGGTTTTTACACCAATTGCATGACAGTACAGCATAGAGCAGTAGATGAGTAGTGATTAAGGTACTTTTGTCAGTTGAAGGCCATTTCATTCTGTTAATGTGAATATAGTAGTCCGATGGTCTGGGTCATCTTAATTTGTTCATTTTTAGTTTTACATAGCACATCAGTATCTCCCGACTGGTCTGGCACAACACGCGTGATAGGGCATCGCTATTATAATAATGACAGTTTATTGATCACCGAGGGGAAATTCTCTTTTAGCCTGCGCCATAATCATCTCGATTCCAGCACAAAAGTGTGGGTTTGCCCCACATGCACACCGTCACTCTGGCCCTGTGGGCGCCTTTCAACAAACACTTTAAGATTCAACTTTATTATCATCACAAACATGCTGTGACAACGACATGCAATTTGGAATCTAATCCGAAAGTGCAAGATTCACCGGATAGTTCTGATATTTCCGAGGGGAAATGTGCGTACACCAGGTTTGATAAATCTGAACTTTTCTGTGCGTACGCATTTTTTCCCCCCCATTTGCATGTGTGCATTTTTTCACAATGAAGTTTCCACAAGTTTGATAAATGAGGCTTCAGCATTTGGCACATATCAAAGGTTATCACCTTGGTAGCAGCGATCCCTTGAGATACAATTTTTGTTTATCCGTGCTGTGTTCTCTTCTCCCCAGATGGAGCAGTGCCGTGCTGCGGACCTGTACAAGATCCTGAAAGAAGTCATAAGCACAGGAGGTTCTTATGAATTAGTTGGTCCAGTTCCTAAATAAAAAAGACAAATATAACTATTAGAAATATTACCCAGTGTTTCTGTCTTTATGTACTGTATCTCTCAGATTAGGCTGACATAAGGATTTGATCATGTTCACTTATGCTTACGAGTGTGGTCAATATTAATGAAGATTATATTTTATTTTATTTTCATCCTGGAACCTTAACAGCGCTGGCAGGGAGTGAGAAGGAATTATGTCTGGAACACTGCAAGAGTTTTGTAGCCCTGATGGATGTATCCTACTTCCAGAGAAAGATTTGTTTTCTGTCAGGTATTTGATGTTTAACTGGACTTGCTGTGCCAAGAACTGCTTATTGTCGTCCCTTGAAGAACTGCAGAATTTCCCTTAACGACTGTGGCAGAGCAAAGGATCAGGGCAATTGGACTGGCTACAGTTTCAGTCCCTATGGGATGTTTTCACCAAGTGGACAGTAAGAACGCATTTATCTCAGTGGGTTTAATGGCTAAATAGTTTTGTTGTTTTCTGTGGTCAGTGACTGGTTTTTTTGGTTTTGGGTAAACTAAAGTTTGTGACCGTGATGCAACTGAAATTCATAACAACCTTGCATATCTCTTACATTCTGCCAGTGTCCATGTTTAATATCGAACAACAAAGTGCCACGTGTATTGGATATAATTCCCTTGGTATGATATGTTGATCTGGTTTCAGGATATTTTTGTGCTGTTTGACAAGAACAAATCCCAATCACTGGAATACTGTGAGATACTACCTGCTCTGACAGCTGCAGGTAGCACGCACTGTCGCTCCAACCACAACAGCCAATAACTGTATTCTTATCATTCTGAGTTATTCATTAAATGGTGGCGCTGATCCTGGCTCTTTTGTGATGTCATTTAGGCCTGCAGGTGGACGAGTTCCTAATCCAGCTGATTGGCCTGCGCTACACAGAACCTGACATGACAGTCAACTACCCAGGGTTCCTCAGTCTGCTCCTCAAACTAAACACCATGATCCGTAAGCAAAAAGTGTGGGGCGGGGATGTGGTATATGAATCGTATGAGTACAGACCAGCACTCCCCAATATAATTTGGAACAGTTGGAGACACAGTGATGTGTATATTGTGTAGCGCTTAAATGTTTATATGGGGGTGGTGCCTGACTCAGTGTGTTAGGACTCTATGCCTATGATCAGAAAGTCAATGGCTCTAATTCTGGGGGTCAGCAGGCTGATGTCACCGTCGGGCCCTTGAGCGAGGCCCCTAACCCCCGATTGAGTGACTGATCCTGCTCTCTCAATTGCACGTTGCATTGGTTAAGAATGTTTGTTAAATAAGTAAAATGTAAGGTGTTTGTGTTTCTGATCACCCTACATACATCGCCATACATAGCAGTGGTGGCTTGATGGTTAGGGTAGCGCACTTGTAATTGAAAGATTGCAGGTTCGAATCCCCCACCAGCAAGTCACCACTGAGGTACCCTGAGCAAGGTACCGTCCCCAAGCACTGCTCCCCGGGCGCTGAATTAGCTGCCCCCTGCTATGTCACGAAAGTCACATATGGGTCAAATGCAGAGGACACATTTCGTTGTTGTGCACTGTGTGCTGTGGTGTGTTGACAATGACCACTGATCACTAAATTCTAAATTCTAAAAATTCTACTATGCCCATCTTTCTTTGCAGAAAAATTTCACAGCTTTGATCTAATGGGAATGGGAGCTATATCTCTCAACTACAGACAGGTAAACGGAAATAACTACAGTGAACTTTGTTATAACATCAGTATTGTGGACCCTTGTGGCATCTCACCATATATGAAGAAAGATCTAAATGTGATGGTATATAAATAAAACTGAATTTCTCATAGGCACAGTGGTTAGTGCTGCTGCCTCACAGCAAGAAGGTCCCGGGTTTGGTCCCGGGTCCTTTCTGTGTGGAGTCTGCACACTCTTCCTGTGTTCATGTGGGTTTCTGCCAGGGGCTCCGGTTTCATCCCACGGTCCAAAAGCGTGCAGGACAGGTTGTGTGTGTGTGTGTGTGTGTGTGTGTGTGTGTGTGTGTGTGTGTGTGTGTGTGTGTGTGTGTGTGTGTGTGTGTGCCCTGTGGTGTGTTGGCATCTGCCCTGGGTTGGTTCCTGCATGCGCCACTTGTTCCCGGTCCCCCCCCACGACCCCGGTTGTGATTAAGCAGTTACGGTGATGGATGGATGGATGGATGGATGGAATTTCTCATAGTCTATCAGTTGTCACTGCTTTTCGCCTCTTATTGTTTCTGTTTTTCTTTTTAGTTATTTCTGTTTACTTTTAAATTAGTCTTGTTACATTGTCATTTGTGTTGTTTGTCATGGTTTATCACCTGCCCAGCACTATTGTTTAAAAGTGCTCTATAAACAAACAAACAAATAAATGCATATTATTATTATTATTTACTATTATTTATATAGTATTATTTATTATTATTTGCCTCTTTATTTATTTCTCAGAATGTATTGTATTTTTCCCCCCGCAGTGGCTTTACCTGACGATGTATAACTGAGCTCCCTCTTCAGGCCCCTGCACACATGACCATCAGGGAACAGCAGACTGTGGTTCACATAATTGTTAACAAGAAGACAGTCCTTCTGTGTATCATTATTGCTTTTCATCAATTACTTTCTCATTAAATGTCGCGAAATTAAATGGGCAAATCTTATGCTTAGTGATGCCGTGTGAATCTCACTTTACGGAAGTGTGCATCAACAAGTTACTTACTTTCAATTACACTAATGGCCTTTTTTTGTTCATACGCTCCTGTGGCTCAACAAGAAGGGCATTGTTTTAACGATGCAAAGGTTATGAGTTCAAATCGCAGGAAGCAGACGTAAACTGTAACCCCTCCCTTTATTGTAGGCTGCTTTGGATAAAAGCATCAGGTAAATGGAATTAAATGGCACTAACATTTTCTAAGAATGTCAGGGGCTTTTGTACTATAGTACTTGCTCATGATCATATTATCATGCATGTACAAATCTACATGAAAGCTCATTTTGAAATGATTAATGCAGTGATTCTTGGGGTGTGCAGGCTGCTGCCTGTGGGTTATGTTTTGGTTTCATGTGTCCTACAGCAGAAGGATGTTACTGCACCAGGTGCCCCCCCCCCCCACCTCAGCAGGGTACATGTGTATAGATCTGAGATATTAAGCCACAGATAAAATTTTCTTGCTCTCCTCCAAGTGGAAAGCTATACATTTCTTGTACTGGTTATCCAGCGCCTTTGTCACATTGAGCCTGGAGCAAATCTTTGAAAGCACAGGGGCACGAGGCAGGAGACACCCTGGATAGGGTGACACGCACTGTATGGCCGATTTTATAAACACCAGTTCATCTAAATCATACGTCTTTGGCACTTTGGGTGTAAACCTGTAGACACTCCAGCAGAACATGCAATGTCTTGTTTGTGAGCTTGCAGTGATAGTTACCCTGCCTCCATGCTGACTCAGCGAAAAACTTCGCAAAACAGTCCCAAGAAAACTGTTTAAATTTGCAAATTATATAATGAATTAGCTTAATTGTACTGTTTTGGTACTACAAACATTATCTGTTTAACTGACAAGATAAGTGGGCTATTAATTTTGAGCTGGAATTACAAAGATTGTATTCATTCGAGAATTATTCATTCTAGGCTCCGAGCCTGCCACAACCCTGACCTGCATAAGGACTTGGAAGAGGGGTGGATGGATGGATGTAATTAATTTTATATTCATTCAAAGTCTTGTTTACTATTTCTCATTGTCATTATGGAATGACCTGACTGTTTATTGAATTCCTGATTTCAGAGGGCAGTTTTAAATATATTAGATCATATACGTATGTGATTACACAATACTACGATGTGATTTTCCATTACTATCCATTTAGCATTTTTTGGTATACGTATTCATGTATATCGTAGTATGATCTGTTTCTCCGAGCAAAAAGCTGTAACAAAAGTTCTCTCTCTTTGTGTCGTGTAAGCTTTAGTCTACCAATCACGTAACTATTTTCTTAGACTATACGTATCATCCAATTAAGCTCCTTAGCAACAAGTTGCATTGAATCTCGAAAGATATCTATATTTGTTGTCATATATCAGCTGTACCATTAAATGTGCAACATAATATGTACTTTATCACATTCTGTACATGTTCAATAAAACGACCTATTTCTGGCTTTGGTAGATGATGTACGTGTATCGTTTTTTAAAAACTTTTTGTTAAACTTAATTAGATCCCTTTAATCATATAAAACAAGTACAAAAACTGGATCCACAGGGAACCAAGAACCAAGAGGCTCTTTAATTGCTTGTGCAGTTTTTCTACAAGGTGGAATTTGAACCACGTAACCGAGTAAAGGAATCTGAATGTAGTCAGGCCGATGTGTGAAGTTTGGAATACCTAACTTCACAGATTCAGATATTAAAAATGTAAGGAATCAGCCTTGCGTCGTGATGATTATAGGTTTTAAATATTTTACTGTTCTTTACAAATTCATTTGGCAAACAATTTTCGGTAGCAGGAATCATACAATGTGCCGTTTTCACATTAGGCTAGGTGGAATTAATCTATATAGAGTTTCAACAACTGAAAATGGTCCAAAACAACAATAACATTTATCGGACATACATGTCAAACATAGAATCATATCTAAAAAAAAAAGAGAGTCGATAACCTTCATTTATACAGTAGGCGGGCGTTGATGGTAATCGACCCGGACAATTCGGAGAACATGACCTACTTTTATTCAGTGTCCGAACTGTGTCATACAGGATGAGGTTAGAACGTTGATGATAGAGGTTTACATTTTAAAATCATCACATTAGTTATAATTATAACAGGACAACACCCTAGTGATGTTATGTAAAATGCACACGACGCGGCCGACTTTAGATTCCTGAACTTCAGCATTAATAAAAACGCACAACCTCAACCAGGGGAAGCGTGTCGGCCAGGCTAAACTGTACATTATTCATAATTTAGCACACCCTTATGTATATTTAATATAAACGGCCCTTCAACGAACCACATTGTGGTTAAAATTGTTTCGCCGATTGGGTAGTTCGCGCATTCGCTGATCGTGTGTTTAATGTGCGGGTCTGAAGCGGTCAAACACTAGATTCTTTGTATATCGAGCCATTTTACTGTCCAGCTGTTGTTCGTGGATATAAGGTGGTAGACATCTTAAACCTCAACGTGCTTTCCACGCGTTTTAAAGAGATGGAAGGTCCGTCAACGCGTTCGACATACGCTGAAGTACTATGTTGAATAAAACACAATGCAGTGGTTTAAATACCAAATTATGATTGACATAATGTTTCAAAATAGTTTGAAATAGTATTTAACGTCATGCACACTGTAAAATACTATTTGATCGATATGCATTTGTCGCATTTACTTCCAAGCATTTCTTTCTAGGCGGGATTTGAAGACTTGCTCATGAATATTGTCCCTTGAGCGCATTATTCATAACCCGTTTGGTTCTGCCTACTCATTTAGTTAGTGGGAGCGGCACAGTGGCCAGGCTACCAAACCCTCCTGTTCGCCGGCGGAGAGGCATTCTCAGCGGGGGAACCGTCAGCGCGGACGCCGGAAATTTCCCAACCGAGTTGCTTTGAAGCGAAAAGAGTCACAAACCGCAGCAGCCCGGTTACACACTTTTTTTTTTTATTTTGCCCCGTACTTCCGTTTTTGAAGTTAAAACAGGGCGCTACTCCGGGTCTTGTTGAGATGGTAGATTACCACGCAGCAAATAATCAAAACCAGCAGTATCCATCCGGCGGAACATACATGGAGCAGGAAAATGACTGGGACCGGGACCTGCTTCTGGATCCGGCCTGGGAAAAGCAGCAGAGGAAGGTGAGGGAAAGGCGGGCGTAGAGGGATTGGGATAGATCGGGGAGTGTTGCTGGGCCTCTGAGCTCGGATTCGTGGCTGGATTAAGGGAAGGCTTTTCGGGCCCGTCTTTGGATTTGATTCCCTGGTGTGCGCTACGGTCGGTAAACAAGTGGGCTGTGCGCCTCGGACGAGCGGCAGGAGACGTGTAGTATATAAACTGAGAAAGAAGTGCAGGTCTCTCCCAATAATATGCGTTCCCGTTAGGGTGTTATTTTAATTTTTTCGAGCAAAGTTTAATTTGAAAAAAATAATCTAAGGGATCTGAGTCATAAAAGCGCATTTTCTGCTTGCACCGTGTGATCCCAAAGGCCGGGGGGGGGGAGGTTAGTTACGTTTTAGCTTCGCTTCGGTGGGTTGGATAGAAACACGACAGCCGCGCTACCCTGCCAAAAAGCGCTTGGCCCCGTCTTTCCCCTTTCCGACCGGGATAATTGCAACTTTGTTACCGTTCCTGACTTTCTGCAGTTCAGTTGCCATCTCAGTGATCGCGGACGGATGGAGAATTTTTTGTGGGTGTATCGCAATTATCGTGACAGCTCCGGCGTGCTTAGTTTGAAAGGCGCTGTATCCAACTTGTGTAAATCGAGGAGGAGCGAAGTAGTCCGTTATTGTTCGGCCTTTCCTTCGTCCGTCTGCATTTAACCAGGCTTTTCGTGCAACAATGTAACTCTTCTCCTCTTTAATGCCGGCCGCTGCCTTGGAATGCGGCGCCAAAGCGGCCGAGGTCAAAGTTTCCGTCAAGCAGAAAAAAAGAAAGAAAAATGATTAACAAGGCAAATCTTAGCGCCAAGTTGAATGCATATGCAAACTGTTAACCTGCAAATGATCCGGTCTCACAGCGCATATGCTCGGATGACTGGCACTTTGGTTTATTATCTGACTATTTCTGGAGGTTCCGATTTCCATTCCCCCGGCTTCGTGATGTTTGTGAGAAATTTAACACACTTAAATGGCCTCCGTTGCATTATGTTCTTGTTGCGCCAATTAATCGAAATACTTGCATGTATTACTTGAACGTAACTAATAAAAAGTTCGTTTTCCTTTTCGTATTACTTCATATGAATTTGTTAACCGGAAAATCACGTTGCCAGCTCAGTGAAACCAAAGGCGTCCGAGACCTTTTTTTTCTTCTTTATTTCAGCTGCAATTTTAATTGCTCTCGGCTGGATCTATTTGATATATTTCTCTCAATAGTCTCCCATATTCTTGCTTAAACTGGCCACGTTTATATGTAATTATGAAAATATTTTTTGTGTAATGAATGAATGAAGCTAATACATGTTTAGAAAACTGTGTATCCCCTCCTAATTGATAAACAGTGGGATATTAAGAACTGCTTGTATAATTTGATTTAATATTCAATGGAAATTACAGAATAACTTATATACATTTCCATCCGGCATTACTACAGTATTCAATAACCCAGAAACCTTGAATGCAGGCTCTGTGAAAATGGAGTGAGTCAACGCAAATATTTAAAAACAAGATAGCGGATAATGACTTCCCCTATTTTTTCATATTGAAAATCGCACAATATTGCATAGCTGTTGGAAACATGTATTTTTTGGAAAGTGTTTACTTATTGTCAAACATGTTTACTTATTGTCAAATATCTGGATCTTGATAATATACTACTTATGTTTTATCCAGTCAAAAAAATCAGTGTACACTTGTGTATTGTCCTTGTGTCATGCAGTTAGCTTGTCTTGTGCCATTGGCTCTGTTTGGAAAGAGATGTAGTTTGTACAATGGATATTTGAATATTTAAATAAAGTCAAGTTCCTTAGTGTGAGACGGTCAGAAAAAGTATTTGAACAATTAGGTTTTTTTAGAAATCAGAAGTATCTGCAACAGTTGATGTCCGTAGTTCCTTTTATGTTGTAACTAAGTAAGAAGGCGAGTGTGAAGAGGAAAAAAGTGCACGATAAACTGTTTTGATAGCCACCAATGGCTTTATTTAGGCATAGACCTCTTATGTGTCGAGTGTGTGGACTGGTTGTGAAAACACACAAAAATACTTTTCTATAGCCAAACAAAATAATAGAAGCGTTGTGTCCACAAGTTCTAAAAAAGAAAAAACAAAAAGCAAAACACACTTGTATACACATACTGCTATATTTAGGAATAGGCAAGACAAACAAGGTCATCCACCTGGCCCCCTCTGAGACTGATGACAGTCCCTGCCAGTACAGTGCATGAAATATGATGTTTAATACTCTGCATAATAAGTCAGGCTTTAGTAAGCTTAACTGCAGGGGTAACGGTTTTCCGTGCTTGTGTTCACTGTGTTTACCCAGCGTAGGACTTGTGAGCAAAGGGTCGATGTCTTTTGTACGGCTGAGTCAAAGGATTCTCTGTATTGTCTGTAATAATGGGCTCTGATTTGTTTTGCTCCTTTACGGAGAAGCCAGTGCATGGACGCATTAGATGATTTCAGATTTGTACTCGAGCTTTCATGGCATCATCCCAATGACCTCCACCTCCTAGTTTTGGGTGAATTATCTGATAGTTCTTACTTTGGAAGAAGTATTATTTAGTGTGGGCAGGCTAGAGGAAATTGCACCCTCTGGTCTTCACGTGCCTCTGTTGCTCTGTCTTAGTTGGTGGCTGCCCTCCCCATCTTAAGCAGTAGGTTCTCCTTTGATGCAGTCTGCGTCCTGAACGGTCCTCGGTAACACCTTAGGCGTTTGTCATCGTGGAGGTGGAGCTCTGCTCAGCTCTGATCACAGGCCAGTGTTTTTTTAAACGGAATAGGAGGGGGGGGGGGGGGGGGGGGGGGGGGGGGGGGGGGGGGGTATTTTGGAACCCAAAAGCGTGCTGCTTGGGACGCATTCCATCTGTGGCCTGTAGTAGTTTGTGGGACAGAGCTTGTGCCCGACTGACTGGTGGGGTTTACAACTCTGCAGATGTGAGCTTTCTGAAGGAGTGGGGTGAACGACTTATGGGCAGTGAGGGGTATCATCAGACATCCTCAACTCGGTCCTAGTTGGCTGAGCTACTTAGGTCTATAATTGTTTCTATTTTTAGACAGTGGCTGATTGAACAGTAATCGTTTCATTTTATGGTTATTATTTAGGTGTGATACACGTGGTTCATATTCCTATTTGTCAGCCAGGCATGGCGTTCTGTGCTTTTGTGCACAGTCCTTTCATAGAAAGGAATGCGTACTAAGGTCAAGCAGAGGGGGTGGGTAGGAATTTATGAGGAATTACTACTGGTGGGGCTGTGAGTTTGGGGGGGGGGGTGCTTTAAATGCTGTTCCATCTGAGTACAGATGATTCTTGCTTTCGTAAAACTTGGTGAGTCAGCGCCGTGGAACAAGTATGCTTGCAGGCTGGGGGGGGGGATGATTGCTGTCCTTGTATCACCAACCCAGACAGGGCACAGATGATATTTCGGGCCCCAGCGAGTGAGAGGGATGGACCTCTGTGCTGAAGTCCGATATCGCTGGTGGCTGAGGTCTGACACAACCTGGTTCTGGTTTGATCATGTCCGTTTCCGGCGTATTCTTCATGTCACCCTGCCCCTCGCGAGTTTTCGCAGACTCTTAGCTGGTTTTCTGAATCCGTCGTCTTCTCTCTATGAAAAGGCATTTTAGTTTTACTGACGCAAACGCTCAGTAGTTCGAGGTCCTACATCGGTTCAGATATTCCGTCCCGAGTGGAGAGCCAGAGGAGAGAGTGCCGCTGTAATAAACGTGTTTAAAGCTTCAGTTCCCAAGCAGCAACGAGAGAAGATTCTGGCAGATGGGTGCCCTTATTCAGCCTTTCCCACGAACGCTACACTCCTGCCCTATTTCAGGGCTTTCCGGAGGATTCTGCAAATCTATGCCGAGATAAGCGCAGAATCGTCTGATTATCATTTTGATTGAGTCAATTAAAATGCAGCTTGTCGATTGATCACCTAAGATAAGTTGCAACTTGGATTTATGACTGTGTTATTTTAATATGCATTATACGCCCCTCTACCTGTCGCTTATGGGAACTATGTCACCTCGCAGGAGAATTGCATGTTGCAACTGGTTCCGCTCTCTCTCTAGCGGTTCCAGTTCTACATGTTGTAACTGGTTCCTCCCTCTCCAGTGTTTAACAGTCGAAGCCAAGCCTGGTGGGGCTCTGTGTTCCATTTTTAAGGGTCGCTGTGGGTCTCCGCCCTTCAGAGAAGCATGCAGAGGGTTTATAAGCGAGTAGATCCGGCCTGGTGATACTTGGCGCCCTGTTCACGGTGGTGCTGATACAGTGGTGGTTCTACCACACATGCTCATTGCTTACAAGCTCCCGCTAGATATGTTGCAATCACCTGTTACATGATGGGTTTTTCAACACGGGCTATAGCTGCCCTCACCCAAGTCTGCTGGTGCGGCTGGGGGGAGGGGGAGGTGCAGTGGGGGGTTTCCAGTATGGGGTCATTGGTGTGGTGATGAAATGATGGGAATGGTGTATGAGGAAGGCAGAGGAACCAGGGCGAGCTTGAGTCCAGCTTGGTAGTGTGTGCTTTAGGGGCTGGTGGTTTGGGCTTCCCCAGATCACAGGATAAAGTTGCAGTTGGGGGGGGGGGGGTCACTTTTTGGGAGATGCAGCCAGCTGTGTGGGTGCAGCAGTTGCCACTGGGCCCTGGGGCTTAATGGTCGGTTCGGGTGGGGGGATTAGGGTCTGACTCTGCTCTTTGGATGACAAGTTCAAGCCTGTTATCACTGTTTCATGGTTAATAGCATGTTACTCGCTGATTAAAGAGGGAAGATGTGCCACTGACCCCCCCCCCCAGTTACCCCTGTCTCATTTCTTGCTCCTGTTCCTTCTCCCAAAGGGAACCTATTTCTAAATGCATTTCCTTCACAAGAAGTTGTGCTATGATCCTTATCAAGACTTGTTTACCAGCCGTAGTGGCTGAAGAAGCAGAATTACAAAATAACGGAAAAGTCCACTTGGATGGTCGGCGAGTTTGTTGGAACAAAAACAAAA